TTACCTTTGCGCCCTAGGAGTGTTCACGTAACTTTCATATCAGTTCGTGATCCGCAGATTCCTAGTATCCTTTTATTAGTGTAGGCCCAAGAATAAAACAAAGACACTTGTTACTTTGAAACAATCGTTTTACGGTGAATTGGTTTTAAAGACTGACCAGGTCCTATGGCTGCCACAGTTACACTACCTCTTTACGTCTTACATCACGCATACGTCATCCGGATGAGTTCCTTTCTACAACTGGGGAAAGGCGAAACCAGACTGTCAAATAATTTTTAAATACTTCAGTTTATCTACTTGCAAGTATTGTCCCTTTCACAGTATATCGATGATTGACAAACATGTCCAACAAACCACCGCTACTGTGCTTTGAGGAAAGTCACCCTGTCGCAGAGATGTCTCTTTGTCTCAGCGAAAAATAAGCTTGGTGTCCCTCCTTGACACGATGATAAGCCAGCTAGTCGCGCAGATCCGTCACCAATGTAGCGAGTGTGAGATTTGCCGGCTTCTTGTGTTGAATCTAAGCTAAAATTGCCAAATACAACGTGTCCATAAAGTTCGTGTGCACTTCAAAAAACTTCAAATTTATAACTTTATTTGTATTTGTGATAGAAATAATCGGTAAAAAACGTTATAAAGTTTAATGTACCTAGTTTTAAGTATAGCTAAAATAACTAATGTGATTTCAGGCATTACTGTAAATCAGTCGGCAAATGTTTTCCGTGAACTGCAAAATCGTATTACCCTTTGTATTGCTAATGATGGAGGACATGTGGAAACTTAAATAAAATTTCAATAAAACTTTAAAAAATATAGATTTACTTCTTTCTAATCCTTTTTACAAATTATTTCTATTGTAAATACAAATAAAGTTATAAATTTTATAAAGTGACATGAACTTTATGGACACCCTGTATTATTTTATACAGTTGTTCTTCTAATACAGGGCCCAAGAACCACTGCAAGTAGAGGGTTATTGAGTGAGACTATTGCCAGGATGTACAAGGAGAGGGTAATATGCTTGATAGATAAGGGTTGCCTTGCCTTGATTGTAGTGAGTGGGGAAGTATTCTTTCTGGAGTCTGTTCTAAAACGTAACTATTCTAGAAAAGAAGCTATCTGAGTTGAATGAGGATAAGTCGACTGTGTACCTGACATGGCGTGTTCTCGTTGTGAAGGTCTGGATTGGTGGAGCTAAGGAATGTAGCTGGTCTGAACATCTGACGTGAAAATAGCGATAGGCTGACAACGCTTCGTTTGTGGAAAAGGGGATGTAACTCGGAAAATAATTCATCACCCACAAGGTTGTGCAAAAGGTTTTGAACTCTGTCAATGTGGGGATTGGGCATTTTCAGCCCAGATATGGCAGCAATACTTCATTTTTTTCTTCTGATCTGGCTATTGTAATAATAGAGCATAGGTAAAGAAATCAGGTAATTTCTGGCACGGTACAACGGATCGTATATATAAATTCAATTTTTCTTTTTTTTTTTTTTTGATAATTCACCTCAAGAACAGCAATAAAGGTACTAGGACAGAAAGGGGTTACTCTTAGAGAATATGAGAAAAAAAACTACTATTAAAGTGAGAGAACATTAAAAGAATAAGAATTAATGATACAAAAAATAATGATTGACATTGCATTGAAATTTTTAAAGATCAAGTTTGACTGGAAAGCAAGAAGGCGATGATAATTCCAGAAGCAAGAAGTGTGGTGAAAGAAACTGTTAGCATAGGACTTACGGTTACATCTAAACATTTTAAATGTAAAATGATGAGACCCTGCCACCAATCAATACTGCGCTTAAATTCATAAAGTCTATATGGCATAGAGGAAAGTTCATCATAACAATTACCATGAAAGTATTTATTAAAAAGACACAGGGAAGTTTGGTTACGGCGACGGGAAATGGACTGAATCCGAGATGCTAGGTCACGATAAATAACATTGCAGATGTAATCTTTTTAAGATAAGTGTTGGTGTGTGTTCTGTTGAACAGTTACTTTCAGAAAAATTTTACAGAGCTGTACAAGCAGCCGAGTGTTGAGGAATTGGATATGTCTTTTGAGCACCTTCACATCGGATGTTCGAATCAGGTTAGTGCTAAAGAAAGATAGTTTATAACGTTGAATAACGGAGGTTACGCGACATTTATAGAAAATGCACAGGAAAGCTACGTTATGATGTTGGAAAAGTGAGTGAAGACTAGATGCCAGGCCAGGACAAATAACATTGCAGATACTTATTTGTATTTTATTTTATCTTCTTTATTAAGAAGCACCAGACCAGATGTAGCATCAATATTCAGCATATAGATAAATGGTAGATTTATAAATGTGTAAGATAGATTCTGACGATATTGTTCTTCCATAAAGAAAAGGAAGAAAAAAGATATTTTAGTCCAAGATGAAGACCACTCATGATGATAATTAACTTTGGATCTCAACAAATTTTTAACCTGTGATTTGATTAATTAACTCAAATTGAATTCCATTTATTCCAACGTTTCTTCCCACATTGACGTGACCAACAAAATTGGAAGATGTTTCATTACGATTGTGCAAGAATAGACTACAATTTTAAAGGTAACCTTACTGGAACATATGAACAGTCTCATTATCTGTGACCCACTTGCTCGTTTATGAGCGAGTATTTTAATATGACTACAGATGCAAGAATTATTTTCTTGCTTTAAAATAGGCAGCAATATTTTTATTCCGTCTACGAATAATGGAAATGATCGTTACTTTCTACGAGAAGATTCAATTACTGTTAGTTTTGATCCCCCCAAAAATGCTGTCTTTTTTTAGCCGAACGATGCTATTAGTTTCTGAGCTTCAACAATCATTTCTTCTGTACATTGAATACTACATAATTCTTAATTTCTGGGAAATAACCATGCAAACTATTCCACACACGAACTCGGTCGTCTGCATGAAATAAAAGAAAACGTTGCAGGTTTGACAAGCCGACACATACTCTTCTACAATCCAAAGCGACCTTCTCTTGCCTGCCCAAGCGAGGCATAGTAATTGATGCCGTGCCATAACTAATAGTGCCTGTATTGGTTGACGATAAGAAAATAGCATCATCAAATTTGAATGATGATCTGAAATTGATGCACTGCCATTTTTCAATGGATACCCACTACCCTTATCAGTCAATAGACTTGCATTACCTTTACGCTCTTGGAGTACTGGCTGCTAGGTCAATAAATGCCAAATGTTTCCTTATAGGGAAACAGTTCTTATTACCATTACTATTATTTTGTTATAACGAAGTTTCGGCCCTTGTGCTCCCAGTTCTTTATCAGAGGTATATCAATCCGGATAATCGAGTCTCGAGAGAATGCCTCTCCGACAATCGCTCTTCCCGCCTGTGCAACTCCATTCCATTTATTTGCAGAGATCGGGAAAACATTATCTAGGGATTCTGTTGCACAAAGTAGCAGTTTTTGGGAAGAAGATGTCCGAGTGGAACTTCCTTCTTACTAATGGAATACGGAGGCAATGCAGATGATTCATCTCCGTGTACGCGGCATGGCTGGACTGATGGAACAAACGAATGTAGCTCGTCAGAACACTTACCATGGATATAGTGATAGACTTGCGACATTTAAAATATGGGAAAGAGGTCGTGGATAATAATTCATCAACCACAAGTCCGCGTAGATGCCTTTGAACTCTACCAAAACAGGCAAGTTAAGACTGGGCAGCTCTAATAATACTCCATTTTTGATCTGGCTCTTGTAAAGACAGAGTACAAGCATTAAAAAATCGAATAATAAAATATAAAAACAAAAATACTTTGCAGAAAACAACTTTAGAAATTAAATATTTTCTGTTTCTTAAGATGTTTTCTGTCTCCATTGTGTGTTGTCGTTTGTTTCTCTAAAAATGACTATGCGATTTTATTTTTTTTGAAAAAAAAACCTAAATGTCAAATGTATAGAAAAATATTTCTTTGAGCCAAATTATTCCTGACAAAAAATGACGCACTGATGTCTCTTACGTGGAAAAAATTATTGTCGAAGGAATATTACTGGTTCAACATTATTTGGAATGGTAAATGTCTTCAACATAGGCAGAAACTAGAAAAGATGGAACTAATTCCAAATGGTATGATCCAGGATCCATCCGTTCTTTCGTCTCTATGCCACTCTCAGCATTCACGGTTTACTTCCTCGTGATAGAGAAGTACTAAAGGGAGAATATAAAGTGGGGAGCAGATAGAAATGAGGCGATATATCCAGGATGAAGGATAATCCGAAGGAATGATGAGATTGGTTTAGAAAGAAAAGCGGGTGAGGATTTAGGTTGGGACAGAAGGAGATTAGAAATGGCGGGGTGTAGATTAAACATAAAGAAAGAGTCGATACGGGATAATATGAGAGAAGGAAGAGAGTAGGATAGATAGAATGGATTTTGAGGGTTTCGGATGGGAGAGAAAGGAAGTACCGTAATTCCCCATGTATAATACGCATTCGTCCATAATACGCATCCCTAAAATTGTTCTGAAAGTGTGGGAAAATGCTTCCAATTACGCATAATACGCATCCCTTGTTTGGTGATCAAACCCTATAAATTGAATCTCCCGAATTTCATTACAGCCAGCGTTTCCTAATCTTATTTTTAAAGAAAATGATTTTAAACGCAGAATAATATTATTCTAATTTCGTTTTAAGATAATTCTTATTTTATTTTCCATTTGTAAGTATGGTTAGGTACATACGATTGTATTCGACATCCTTATGGAGTCGCAATCGCCGAATGTTAGTGTCGAATTGTCGTATGTTTGTGGTGAGTAGTCATTTCGCAACTGAAATCAACCTATGAAACGGCAATTTTTTCAAGATAATTTTGTAGCTGTGCATAATATGCACCCTTAATGTTGCTTATTATTTTTTAGAAAAAAATGCGTATTATACACAGGGAATTACAGTAAGAGCGGGTTAAGGAAAAAAGAAAGATTAGATATGACATAGAAGGAAATATAAGAGTTAAAGGAAGTGGTTGATCCAAGATGAAGGAAAACCAAAGGGAATGAGATGATAGAGACAGGGGGGACTAGATTCAGGATTGTTTAAAGAGAGAATGGGATTGACAAAGAAAAGAAAGGATTTGTGCTGCAGTAGAAGTAAATACAATATTCTGGTAGTAGGATGCAGCAAGAGAGAGAAAGAGAGAGAGGGGGGGGAGAGAGGAACGGAGGGGAAGAGAGAGGGGGGAAAGAGAGAATGTCCACTGCAGGCCAAAGAGACAAAATCACTTTAAGGAAAAAAAAACCCTTAACCACGATCAGTTGATTAAAATTCACTGAAGCAGGCGAGAACATTTGGTGTTTATGTCTACCTGTTTTTGTCAAGGAACTAGGAGTGGAAAGAAATAATTCAATGGACGGAAAATAGGAAAAGACATACACGAATTACTGAAAGAATGAAAGAAAGAAAAAAAGAGGAGAAAGAAAGAATGAATTATTGAAAGTATGAAAGAGAAGGAAGAAAGGAAACAGAAAGACAGAGGAGAAAGAAAGAACGAATTATTGAAAGAAAGAGAAGAAAAAAGAAGAGAAAGAAAGGAAGAAAGAGGAGAAAGAAAAGAAAAAGAAAGAAATGAAAGATAAATAATGAAAGAGAGAAAATGGTAGGAAAAAAGAGAAAGCAAGAAGAAAGAAAAGATAGAAAAAGAAAAGAGAATAAAGAAAAGACTATAATTAATAAAAAGAGAAAATGAAAAGAAGATAAAGAAAATAAAAGGATGATAAAAAGATGTTGAGGAGAAAAAATACAAAATCAAAAGAAGGATTTGAAAGAAATATGAAAATAGGACAAGAAGTCAAGGAACATGTAAAACGATAAATAGAATGAATAAAAAATAAAATAATAAAAATATAAAAAAATAAGATTTAATAAAGGTTGATAGAAGTTCAAAGAAACAAAAAGAATGTGTAGCGGCTGACTGTAGGCAAAAATCAATAATCGAAAATTCAAAAGAAGGAAGAAAAACAAAGTAGGAAAAATGAAAATGAAGAAATTAATAGAAGGAAGGAAGGATGAAGGAGAAAGTAAGAAAGAAAAACAGAAGAAAGAAAAAGAAAAGAAAGAAAAAGAAAGATAGGGTTGATATGGAAAATAAAAAATGAGGGCAAGAAAGAAAGAAAGAAAAAATAAGAACGAAACGAACGAAAAACCGAAGAAAGAAAAAGAAAAGAAAGAAAAGAAAAAGTAATGAAAGTACCTTAGTAGAATAGCGATACAAAAGAAAGAAAGAAAGGAAGAAAAAAAGAAAGAAAAAGAAAAAAGAAAGAAAGAATGAAAGAACGAACGAAAGAAAGAAATATATAAAGAAAAAAGAAAGAAATGAATGAATGAAAGGAAGGAAGGAAGAAGGAGAAATTAAGAAAGAAAAACAGAAGAAAGAAAAAGAAAAGAAATAAAAAGTAATGAAAGCACCTTATTAAAATACTTAGCGATACAAAAGAAAGAAAAAAAGAAATAATGAATCAATGAATGAAAGGAATGAAGTAAGGAAGGAAGAAGGGGAAAATACAAAAGGAAAGAAAAAGAAAAGAAAGAGTAGTGAAAGTATCTTATTAGAATACTTAGTGATACAAAAGAAAGAAAGAAAGAAAGAAAGAAAGAAAGAAAGAAAATAGAGAAAGAAAAAGAAAGTAAAACATATAAAGTCAAGAATGAGAAAAGAAAAAAAGGAAATAAAGCAAGATGAAACAATATAAAACTAGGGATGCCGAAAGTTAAGGTGTGCAAGAGACCGGAATGGCAACTTAAGGAAAGAAGAGAGAACAAAAAGAAGACCGAAATGAAGAAAAGGTGAAAAGAAAGAGAAAAAGGAAAGACATAACGCAAAAAGCCAAAATGTAATAAGAAAGAAAGACTGACAGAAAGAAAATGAAACTTTAAACGAAAGAAAGAGCTAAAGAAATCCAAACGAAATTTCAAATAAAGAAATAAATGAAAGAGAAAAAAGATTCTTTTTTTTTCTTCTTCTTTCCTTCTTTCTCCGAGAAACGACGAGATGCCACGTGGTTCCGTGAACAGGAAACACCGGGTAAGCGTACATGTAGAAGACTTTCAGGATGGCCATTTTTCGCCAACGAACAAGGCCATTGTTCGACATTCCTTTTGAGTGTCGCTCGCCGTGGACATTTCAATTGCTTCCCAAATAGAAGGAGATGGACCGAGCGAGCGATTGTCTAATTTAGTCGGCATCAAGAAAGAAACGGTCAAGGGAGCGTAAAAATGAAAGTAACGTGGTCAGAAGAATCCCTACCACTATTATTATTATTATTATTATTATTATACAGCGCCATCTATTTACAGCGCCAAATATTCAGTTCTCTGCATATATGCGATTGGTTGGTTAAAAAAAATCTACCCAAACATGACAATTACTTTTCGGATACCTTTTAAGAATCTTTTAGCATTTCATCTTAGCAGCCATTTGTGTATTTTCTGAAAACACCCAAGAGGCACTCAAGATAGAGTATTACTGAATAAGGTTGTTTATGGGCGTAATGGGATAAGCAAGAAGTGCATATTATGACAATACGGAGGATAGCCATAAGACGGATTTGAAAAGTGTAAAATTGTAGTTGTTGGGGAAGCATCCCCTCGGGAGTCTGTTACACAGAGTGGCAATTCTGAGGGAAAAGTTGTCTGGGTGAAATTTTCATACGTCTGTGAAATTGGTGCTGCTGTATTTGTAATTTGGTCTTTGAACTCATCACTAACGAACGTTGCTAATCAAAGACATAGCCACTGTAAATTGATTTTAAACACATTTCAATGTGTATGTAATCGAATACAGGTTTGAGGACCACACTTCAACTTTTCTACCAAGCTTCTATCAACTAATCTTTTCACACACACCCAACATCGATATAATAAATGCGAATCTCAGTGCGTCACTGTGTCTCACCTTTTTCAACTCCCAGAGACCGTGGCCCAACAGAATATACTATTTGGGAATGAGACCGACTCCGTGAAGAAATTAAAAAATAAGCCGGGCCGGTTCCAGACCCGCAATCCTGAGATTTTGGATTCCCAAGATTTCATTACTGCGATTGTTTGCGGATTCCCGTCATCTTGGCTTCTACTGATAAAATCAATTAAAGGGATACAACTCTCTATCTTTAAATAACTCATTTTCAAGTGAAAAAAATTTACTGTTCACAAATTATTGTTTCAAAATAAAATTGTCCGTGTTTTCAACTTTACTCCTAGAGGCCGCTAGCCCAAATATCGTACCATTTTGGAATCAGACCGATTCCATGAGCAACTTAAAAACATTCCTCGCCAGATCTGGGCACGCAGTTCCTGAAATTTTGGCTTCTCAGTAACTGCGATTTTTTTTTACTGATTTTTTTTTACGTGATTTTTTTGCGACGAATTTTTATCTACGTTAACAATTTTTACAATTAGGAAATAAATTTGGGATTGAAATTGAAATTAATTGCAAAATCCAGCGAAAGTCCTCCATGAAAAAAAAATTACTTGCAAGGAAAGGAAGGACATACGCACATCAAACTGTCTTTAAACTAAATGGCGGCAGAAGAATTATCTGTCTATATCTCTGAGATTTATAAATTCCAAAAATTCATATACAGATGTCCTCAAAGACACATGACCCAGTGGATAAAGATGTTTGTTAGTCACTGACTAGATCGAGAGAGTTGAGTCTGAAATAGCAAGCCACAGCAGTGAACCAAAAACTTGTTGAGTTCAAGCGAAATAATAGAGATATCCGTAAGAGACATCGCCCATGGAACTAGAACAATCTGCTCAGTGAATGAAATAAAGGGTTTTGGCTCGAACTTTCAATCAGCTTAAGAAGACCAGGAAACGCTGTGAATATGACAGTCCAAATAATGTAAATAATGCAAGAACTTTTAAAAGGTAAGCTTAATATTAATGCAATACTTAAAAGCAATGAGTTCTTCTGTAATTCCTATCGCATCTACTTTTCCTGACTTATTATGATGAAGGCCCAAACAAGAGCCCTTCGCAGAGCCCCTTCGATAGGGCGGTTTTTAAGCTAGTATATATAAATAATAAGAAATTAACGGATTTATTTTAATCCGAAATTAATAGACCTCCCTTTTTAATTATTAAAAAAATGTGTAATACGTCTATCGGCTTATGGATTCGAGAAATGCGTACCCCTTAAGAATCGAATCTACGTCTCTCTTTATAGACTAAGATTGGAGATGAAAATTATCAGTTGTGAAACGGGAAAAGCACCTACTGCAACGTCTTTCACGCAATGCATGGACTCCACAAGCGCGCTGGATAGATTTGAAATGTGCACTTGCCTTGAACTTTGATGGATCTCACAGAGTACAATATTTCTAGTGTGTTAATTAGTTGGGCCAGATATAGGGGCAAATTCCGAATTACATCATGAATAAAATCGTAAAAGATATAAATTACTTTTCATAGCATTGCTAAAAGTAGCCAAAAATACATGCAGATCCACAATTATTTCCACTCAATAACTTCTACAATAATTTGAAACATAACCGTTACCGCCCACCCAATAACAGTTGGAATAATACAACATACCTTCCCATAATGAACCACTGACCAGCATATGTAAATAGTCGTGTCAAAACACAACGCAATATATATATATATATATATATATATATATATATATATATATATATATTTACATTATTTATATTCATCTTTGTCGCCGTATTTATGACAACGTTTCGGCCCTTGTACGCACCGGCCTTCTTCAGGTGGTTGGATTTTCAGTTATATCAGTTATCTCATGTTAATTGTCCCTCTTAAAGTTCTTCACTGCCTTAACCGGAGTTTCAGAGGGAAAATTAACAGGAGATAACTGATAACTGACATCCATTAAACATGGGACGTGGAACTAGAACAGTCTACCCTACTGAGCAAAATAAAGAGTTCAGTTCGACATTCCAAATACTTGAAGAAGAACCACATTCAAACCGGGGTAGATTGTTCTAGTTCTACGTGTCATGCCTCTTCCGGATGTCTCTGTTATTTTCCATTAACTCAACTTCCCAAGTTTTTTGATTCACCACTGCTGTGGCCTGGTATTGAACTCACAGCACTTTGGGTTTAATCACTGGATCTAACCAACGTCTTTATCTTCTGGGCCATGTGTCCTTGAGGATTAGACCCAAAGAGTTGTGAGTCCACATTTAAATAATGCAAGTAATTATAATACCCCATCTCAGAGATATAGACAGATATTAAAAGATTTACTTTACACTGTATTTTATCCCTCTACCAAGTCAGCGATACCGAGCAGTTGGTCAACAAGCTCAAGAAATCTTGCAAATATTTTTAACTTCAGATAGACTTGAATAAAACTGTCTTGCTGCATCAGTCTGCGCCAACTAATTGAAATCAAACGGAAGAAATTCCTCGACAACATTCGACTGATAACTGCGAAGTGATTTAAATACCTTGGAAGCACTTTTGTTCTTTGGATGAGGAAATCATAATCCGCATCCAAAACCTTATCCAGGCTTTTTCAAAATCTGGAATTCAGGGTTCGGACAAGATGGTATTCATTCCTTATTTTTTCGCAGAGCATGTGAACTTTCCTGTTTTCTTTAATCCTGTGAATCTTGGGTAACATGTAAAACACGTATGAGAATACTGAAAATATTCCATCAATGCTGCTCATCTTCAAAATTCATTAAATATCAAAGACACTAGATACGGAATTTTGGTCACAGACCTCATCACTGAAGCAGCAATCTATAAGCATAGGCCGTGTTTAACGCTTTATTTGATCAGAGGAAGATAAGCACGTCCAAACGATTACTGTATGGGCAGGTAAATGGAATTAGAAGGCCTTATTATAAAACAAAAGCACGTTTCCGGGATTAAACAATCAAGTCACAGCTGTTAAAGTCAATCGGGATAATTGGAAGAATGATGCTACTGACAGATTAAAATGGATGGAAGATATTTACGGCAATTCCTAGGCTTAACTTTGAAAAAAAAAAGCAAGCGCAGTGACTGCTGATGGTTGATGACAATACACATTTTTTGTGTTTGATATTTTTCTATTGCGACAGCCACTAAAAACTTGCCTGCCTGACCAGCCATATGCATTGCCATACACTAAGATCTCTGAATGACTAAATTCAAGTGATTTCTACAGATTTATGTCGCACAAATTGTATTAAACTATGTAGAAATATTTCCGGATAAGCTTGACATGGCAACTTCAAAATAATAAAGTCCAATTCAATAAGAGTTTTTGTGTCTTTATTACGGAAAAAAAGACTGGATGGCTTAAGATTTATTGTAGGTCACATAAGAGAGTGAACCGAAGATGTTACAGGATGAAGCGGTGATGCTAGAACTGTGAAACTTTGCAACCATTAATTTCACCTCTTCTTATTAATAATTATATTATTTCTATCCAGGTAAGAGGGTGACATGAAAAGATAACAGGCTGACAATAAAGAAGTGAAGCTAAAGCTTCGAAAATTTGTATGCATTAATTTCAACTCTTCTTATTAATAACTGCATTGTTTCTTTCCACATACGACAGTGGGCTGAAAAGAGACAATGCAGTTATTAATAACTGCATTATTTATTTCTTGGTAAACTGACATCTGAATGGTGAATGGAGATTTCAAAAGTCACTATTAGCGACTTTTCTTGAAAATGGACAATCTTAAGAAACCGTAAGAGGCAAAAAACAGACAAAAACCAGAAGAACGAACATAAAAATGTTCATAAATATAGGATTCAATATCAACATAAAAATTACCGTAAAAGACGTAGCCCCCCTCCCCCCCAAAAAAAAACACAGCAACCTACTCAAGGACAACATAAACAAAACATACGGAAAAGCACTAAAATTCTACAGAATACGATATTAATATAGGAGCTAAAAAATAGTCCAACCATTGAACCTAGAAGACCGAATAAAATGCATCAGTTAATCTTAAGCATTTATTATCCTAAAAGACTCCAAAGAAAATTTCAGATCAAACCCAAAATGCAGACTCATAAAACCAACCAAAAGTAAACTATGTAACGTAAGTAAAACGTTACTAGAAAGAATCAACTAGGAGCTAAGGACGAAGTTAGTAGTAAATCAGTGGGGAAAATACAAAAAGAAATAATCGACTGGTGTCGCAATGTAAAAAAAATGAAGATAATTGCAGATTTATACAGCTAGATATACAAAGAAATCTAATCTTCTATAGTAGAAGCCATGCTGGATAAGGCCACTTCCTTACCTCATGAACAAATAAAAACAAATCGAAATGAAGTAAAAATCATTAAACTCTCCCGAAAGTCACTGTTATTCTATAACGAAGATGTGTGGGCAAAGAATGGTAGAACACTTGACATTTCAGTGGAAAGCTTTGGTACAGCAGAAACATTTGTGCTTCTTCGTGCACATTTACTACTTGAATTAAATAAAATAATGGCTAAAAATGATATAGGCCTCTACAGAGACGATGGTCTCGTAATCTTAAGAAACCTAAAAAAATGTACATATGAAATCTAAAGAAAACCTAAATATCAAATGACTTTATATACAGACATCAAATATGTGGTGCAATTCAATTTATATTACAATGAATCATTCATACAAAAAGTAGATTATTAAAGTTAATGATATAAAATGGCGAAATCTTTTCGCTAACAAAATTTTTAAGTTGCATTAACCTACGAATCACTCAATGAATGTTATGATCCTTGTTTTTAATAACTATAAGCTGTATAAGGTCTTTTTTTAATATGCAAGTACTTTCAACTTTATATTCAGTCATCCTCAGGTATGGAAATTGTTTTTAGTAAAAACCAGGTAGCATCCGAGACGAAAAATTTAAATTGTACGTTAATGCAACTTTAAAATTTTGTTTGCGAAAGGATTACAGCTCTGGTTGCATTGGAGCTAAAGAAGTACAACATTTATATAGCTGCACTGAGAAATAAGCATCAGTCGATTAAACGAAACGAGAAAGCAAAATAAGACATCTAACATTGTTCCTGCTGCACTTGGATATCATACATTCTCCTGTACCGTTAGTGATCTTTTGTGCAATTCTCGAGCCGGTCACAAAACCCGTCATACCCGACATAGGCATACCGGTAATCTATATTAACCTTCCCATACCAGCACAAACTATTAAATAAACAATCAGAAGTCATCTCAAAATGCAGATACGAAAACAAGTTTTAGTATGTTACTTCAAATCGAAAACTAAAAAAATATAAATAAATACATAAAAATAAATAAATAAAATAAATGAATCCAAATCAATAAGTAAATGAATTATGTAAATAATAAAAAAATTAACAAACCACGAACGCGCATATAAACTCAAATAAACATCATAATAATAATCAACATCAAATAATAAAATAATCAATAATAAATGATGGGTAAAAAGTTAACGAACAACAAAATAAAATAGCCACCAAACTGAATTCGGATTCAAAATTTTTTTCCACTCAATCCCCTGGAATAATTCGAAAAAACCGTTACCACCCACCCAATAACAATTGGAATAATACAACAAACCTACCCATAATTCACTACTGGACAGCAATCAAGCAAAAACACGACATACATGGCTTGACGTTTGTGGTTAATCATGAAACAGACTGTCGCTGTTGGGTGTTGACGTCAAGGACAACTTATATATATATAAAATATATATAATCTTGCCCTGACGATCCGTGTAGGTGTAACCTAGGTAGCTTTACCTGGCTCTTTAGGTTCATAGATAGGGCTGCTCTACTGAATGTATTGAGCACTTAGTTACTTTTGCTTTACTCGTTTTGGAGTTGTTTTTTTCTTTGGACTGAGCTTGAATTCCGGACGATTGTTTTCGCCTCAATTTCATGTTCTTTGTTCTTTCTTTTTTGATAACCTATTTTTCCTTGGGCATTGAATTTTCCAAACGAGTATAACTATTTATATTTATATTATTACTAAATATATATATATATATGTATATATATATATATATATATTGTTGATGGATAATTATCAGGCCTTTTAAACAATAATTATTATGAAAGAAGAAACACAACAATTGAACAATAACATTTTAAATGATTATTTCAGAGCATATGATTATCGACACGTCTTTTCCTAAACTGAAAATAATATTTGTATTTAAAAACGTAAACAAAACAGCAATTTTTATTAACAACTAACTCGCCTAAAAACGCCTGATAATTATGCATATATATATATATATATATATATATATATATATATATATATATATATATATATATATATATATATATATATATATATATATATATATATATATATATATATATATACATATATATATATATATATATACATATATATATATATATATATATATATATATATATATATTAAACCGTTTAAAATATATTTTTTTAACCGTTTAAATGTGTCAATATCTGCTAACTCACTCATGTCTTCTCTCTCCCCCTCACTTACTCACTTCGTTAATTTACATATGTTTAATACGGCCCGTTAAAAATGTGTAAATTTTTTCATTTTTTGTTTGGAAGTAAAGTCTGATGATCCGCAGTCCTTTTTAAAAGGGCTGTGGTGAAATAATTTATTACATAGAACCTTAAAGTGGTCTGTTTTTATTTAAATTATTTGCCCTGAATTTACATTGAGCTCTCTCGATTTTATCCTTCTTAGGTTTACCCATACGGATTACCTAAACTATATATATATATATATATATATATATATATATATATATATATATATATATCAACAACGATATATCAATAGGTTAACATCTTGACGTGTTGATATTACGTATTTCTGTAGTAATTAATATATATCCATGAATTAAGTGCATTGACAAGGATGATTATAGATGATACTAGAGTAAACGAAAAACGTACTAGTTTTAAATTTTTTTGTTTCGTGTACATAAATATCTACAAGTATATTCATATCTATCTATCTATCTATCTATCTATATATATATATATATATATATATATATATATATATATGTATGTATGTATGTATATATGTATATATAGATATATGCTCGAGGATGTAGCACTTCTTTCGATCTATCTGACTAAGTGCGTGCATGTCATCGGTCTGCATTGCGATTTACTTGTCTAGTAAAAGTTCACTGAGTGCAAACGATTCTTGCCTGAGAGGCAACTAAATTCTATGTTTCACAAGAGCCGAAGGCCATCATTCTTTAAAAAAAAATTATTCTCATGTTGCCAATAATAAAAAAGAGGGAAAAGAATAACTTAGGAGAGAAAAGGAGGAAATGATTGTAGAAAGAGATATAAAGAGGGAAGAAAATATGGGTAGAAAAACTGAATAGAAGGAGAAAAGAGAAAGAGAGAGAGAGAGAGTGAGAGAATAGAGAAAATACGTAGAAAGCCATTTCCGATGTGATTTTGAGTTTGAAATTCTATTTTTTTTCTTCTTTTTTTTTTTTTTTTTTTACAAATGTAACTTGGATTAAATTAAGAGAAACCCACGCTTGCTTTTATGTAGAGATTTATTTATTCAGCTTGGCTTATATGTTCTCAAAGTTAATAAAGTATTTGAAATACAAATGAATAAGAAAATGTGTAAGAAAGTAACGAATAGAATAGTCCAGGTAAAACAGGTCTCTAAAATATATCGGCGGACAAGGATTAACAAAAAAAAGAGCGCTAACAAACTCATTAACCACCAAAACATTGTCACCGTGTCTATCATGTTTATATATATATATATATATATATATATATATATATATATATATATATATATATATTACAAAAGAAAAGCCAAAATTACATCATATTGGGGGTATAGATCTATTTCGATCAACGAGATGTCTTATTCAACCCTGTATTTGTATAAATTTTACGACAGCTGTCAAAATTAAATTTTAAATTTCTAATTCCGACACGAATACAGTCTATACATCGGGGTTGAATAAGACTAATGCACTTTTCGTTGGTTGAAATATATATATATATATATACCTCTCCACATATAAAGTAATTTTTCGATTTTGCTGCGTAACTTATATGCTCTGTTATGATAAATACATTGAGCGCTTTTTGCGGATTAGTTTTATATTTTATATTACTAGGATCCACTTGGATTATAAACCAATGGATTTATTACCTGTACTATACATATAAACCTATATATATATATATATATATATATATATATATATATATATATATATATATAAGTGAAAAACTTATTTAGTCATCGTATACGTGTTTTCCGTATTATTTGTTGTTTTATATTCCTCTGTATATAAATTTATGAATTGAGCTGTCATCATGGAGTTAACGTTTTAATATTTTCATATTAAAAAAACTTCATTGGAATAATTCCTACCAGCTTCGGATTTAAATATATATATATATATATATATATATATAGAGAGAGAGAGAGAGAGACAGACAGACAGACAGACAGACAGACAGACAGACAGACAGAGAGAGGGGGAGAAAGAGATAGAGAAATGCAACAGACTGCAATATCGTAATGATCTATGTTCGATTCTCCGTTGTGGATGCGAACTGCTGAAGAGTTCCAAATAGGACGAAACAGCCGTCCAGTGCTTTCTGCATTCTGTTGTGAATTTTTTTGGTGTCGAAGAGTTACTATAAATGTTTATTTTAATATCCTAAAATTTATATCACTTGTATATCCTTGCTTGATCCACCCTCTAATGCTCTGGAGGGAGCGGCTTGTGGAAAGAAGACGTGGCTCTTGAGGCACAATACCTTGGGTCCGTATCACCTTGGATATGTATCACCAAGGAAATTAGTGTGTAGCGGCGCTATATCAAGTCTAGTCAAATGCTTCTTCGCCACCGAGGCCCGTTGGTCCAGTGGTATGATGCTTGCATAGTATCGTTACGGTCCGGGATCGATTCTCGGTAGTGGATGCGCACTGCTGATGATTCCCTAATAGAACGAAACCGCCATCCAGTGCTTTCTGCATATATATATGCAATTATTTATATATATATATATATATATATATATATATATATATGAAGAAATATAGTCTTAAAGTGTGCCATATATATGGGATAAAGTGCTCAATATCAGAGCGTATATAAATATAAAGGTAAACATTGAAGTAAACTCTCAGGCCCGACGATTGCGTCTAGCATGAAACAGACCGTCGCCTCTAAGTGTTGACTTCTATGTTCACTTTTATATATATATATATATATTGCATACAATAGTAATTAAAATTACCTCATAGTTATGATCATTTCACCTTACAAATTAAGGATTACTCGCAAAGATTTTCAAACTGATTAAGGTAATAAGATAAAATAAAATGAAAAGAGACCAGACCTAAATTAAATTTTAAAACAGGGCAGCAAAAAAGAAGGCAAGAAAAACTGAAAGATTTTTCGTTTGTCTTCCACCATACCTGCATAGATGAAAACTTGTTGGTCAAATATAATATATATATATATATATATATATATATATATATATATGTTATGAAAAACTTGGTAATCCGTATGGTTAATCCCAAGGAGGATGAAATCCTAACAGCTCAATGTAAATCTAGTGCTAATATTTAAATATAGTATTTAAATTGATAGCAAACATCAAATTAATTTTTTTAGACATCTAAATTTCTATCAAGCATTCAAATCTATTCTTTACATAAATTGCTAAAACCCAATTACACCCTCTTTCTCTTTACTTCCCTCTCCCTCTCCTTTTTCTTTCTTTTTCCTTTTTCTTTTCCCCCTACACCCCTCCCATTTCAGTATATCACTTCCGTTAAGTTAACCGTCTAAATAGGTCATGGTCTGGTCACTCCTCCTCCCCCAATACAAAGTATACTTGAGAGAAATTTGAAATTAATCCCTCCCTATACTCTACCATGTCTCTTTAACTACTCCTTTTACACTCCCTGTTAAATTACAAAAACTTACACTACCCATCAATTTTAATTTCATTTTACGTTTCATTTCATTTTTGGAAGTGATATCTGATGATCCGGCGTCCTTTAAAAGGACTCTGGTTAAATAAATTATTATAATGGAACCTAAAAGCAGTCTGTTTTTTTTTAAATATATATATATATATATATATATATATATATATATATATACCAGCGCTTCCCGCAAACTCCGCTATCGCTTGTGGGATGAGCTGTGTATCCGACTGGATACGAAAATTCGGGTTTACAGAGCTGTTGGCTTTGCCATCCTTTTCTACTGCTCTGATTCGTAGACTCCATACAGATATCATATAGGCCAGCTGGATGATTTCCATAGGAACTGCCTGCGTGTAATCTGTAGAGTTAGGCTTCAAGACAGGACATCCAATGTAGGTCTGTTTAAAAGGTGTAATATTGGAGGAATCGAGATTTTCCTCATACAGTCTCAGTTGCGTGGACGGGTCATGTCTTAAGAATGTCTGATGACATGATGCCCATGACCCTAACGTACAGCTTTTCGAGCAGGGCTATAGGAATTTAGGACGCCTATAGCTTAGATACAAAAACAAGCTGAAGAGCAACTTGTCAGCTGTCAATATACATCATAACACACTCAAGTGCTTAGCCTTGGAGCAGGTAGGGTGGAGATCAACGTGCTTTAGTGGACACAGCGGTTTTCAATCTGTTAGTGTGAATCGTCTGGATCGAGAGCAGTATCTAAAAGGTCGGCAAATCTAATAGTGACGTCATCCCACAACTCGCACTCTTGCTCCATATTCAGCCTCTTTTGCAAATCACTTGCGGGTCTAAAGTGCCACTTATGATTATCTCACAAAATTCATAACAATCAATTCGTTAAGTTGTTAGATCCTCATACGTCGAAACCGACCTGAGAGTCCATTATATATATATATATATATATATATATATATATATATATATATATATATATATATACACACACACACACACACACACATATATATATATATATATAATTATTTTTTAAAATATGATTCCATCGCTACATAAAAATTTTCACGTTTCAAAAACAAAGCTAAAGCTTCAATTTAAGTATAAAAATTAAATTGAATTCAAGTATCAAGCTCTGTTTCATCTTCAAGTGAAAGAGATTTTATATTTTTATAATTAAATTGAAGTTTGTATCTCCTGTTTTTGAAAAATGAGATCTCTCATGTAGCGATGGAATCATATTTTTAAAAAAATAATTATAATGAAGGCTCTACTTACGTGTTGAGCTCTGTCTTTTTTTTAAATAAAAACAAAAATACTAAAGAACTTCGGAATATCAACCTAACGTGTTCTTTCCTATTTTTTCTATATATTTGCACACACACACACACGCACGCACACACGCACACACACACACACACACACGCACACACACACACACACACATATATATATATATATATATATATATATATATATATATATATATTAATTGGTGAAGTATTAATTTACGCCAATATATACCTGAATAATAATGAAAATAGATAAATGCCAAGACAATATTAAACGGGATTACGGCAGTATCAGTTTGAAACACCAGTTCCCGTACGATCACCGGAGTTGAGCAACGTCAAGCTTGGTCAGTACTTAGATGGGTGACTGCTAGGTAATACAAGATCGTGCGGGTTGTGTAATGGATAATGGCTTGGAATTTTTTAATCGAGAAGCGTGTTCCAATTCTATTTCCAGATGGGTGCGTTAGATGCACTAACGAGTAAATAGCCTTGGGACAGATATTAATCCACCTCTTCACCCCTCAACTATGGATTAATTAGTAAGACTTGTAACACTAAACCTTTATTATGTCCAAAATTTCAGTGGCGTAAGAATTTTTTTTAGCCAAGAGAAATAAACTACAAATTATCTAATTTCAAAAATTAATTACGTAATCCCATCTTAACATAAATAAACAGTATTTGGAACTAGTATCGGGTAGGTCCTCCATTTTCTAGTTCCAGTGCTTGTATTCGATTTTTCATGGATTTAATCAAGATATCAACAATCGTCTGATCCATATTTTGCCACTCCTTTAACAATGTTTCTTTTAGAGTTGCCACTAACGTGATTTTTGTTGCATGCTCTCAAAGATTTGGTGAAGGTGCTTTCAAATGTGCTAAATTGGATTCATGTCAGGACTTTGGGCTACTGAGAGACTTGATTTCTTGTGATTCCTTCCAGGCCTTTGCGCTCCATTTTCTTGAAAAATGTACACATTCTTGTCAAACTGATTGGTTTCAAATAGTGGGAGTAGTCCTTTCTCTAATATTTGACAGTATTTTAGACCATTCAAACGCTCGTCAACAAGAATCAGCTCAAATTTCCCTCCAATCCAGACAACGTCCCACACCATTACTCCAATACTTCCATGTTTCAGGGTGGCCTGCAAACATTCAGTGTTCCAAGTCTCATTCTGTTTTCTCCAAACATAAACTTGTTTTGAATTTAAATAATGGGTGAATTTACTTTCATCTGACCAAATTACAGACTGCCAAAATTCATAATCTTTGCTCTCAAGAATGTGCCTGTTCCTTTTAAACTCTGAAATCAAGGAATTCTTTCTTGCAACTTTTCTTTGATATCCCAGCTTTTTCAGAGTCTTTCTCACCGAATATGACGACATTTACATGCTGTTAGCGACATCTCTGATGCTTTGACGACGGTTTCTGATAACTTCCCTCTTCAGTAGCCATTTCGTTCACTCTGACACGATGCTTGGTTTGCCTTAACATTGTTCCACACGACAATAGCCTTCTTCATTAAATTTCTTGACAATATTATTAAACGTTTGATGATTAACCTGGAAAATCCTAGCAATTTCTCTATTTGACTTGCCACACTGATGACACCCTTTAATTTGCTCTCGTTGAAATTCACCAATTTCCTTACTTCCGCCAACTTTCATTGCAAAATATAAGTCAACTATCGTTCATAGATGAGAGTAGCTTGATACTAACACGGTACTGTCTGAAAAAAAGAAGAGATGTTATTACACAAGCCAAAATTGCTGTAATCAAGGGTGGCTAAAAACTTATCATAGTCCACTGTATAATAAATTTACGTACAAAATCAAAATATTGAAGTTTCGGCATTAACTAACCCATTGAGGTGTTGATATGCCGCAAAACACAAACAACCAATCAAAATAAACGTTACAGAAATAATGATCATAAGTTTTCGATATTGATTTGATAGAATCAATAAAAGCGCTATATCCTGAACGTGTTTTCTTAAAAAGTTTGCTATCAAAAAGCTGTTGTGTCAATTTATTATTTATTTACTTGCTACCGGATGTGCGGATGGTGTAACGTTTATCGACTCGGAAAGAGAAACCGCCGAACAGAGTTCGAAATATTGTTGGAAAAAGTATAAATCCATCTCTTATCGCCTCCCCAACTCTGGGTTAAACAGAAGTTTTGACTCGCGTCATTTACACTGAAGTGGCAACCAGTCTAGCTGAAGGAAACTCTTAATCGAAAACCAGCCTGAAGGTTCTGTCAGGTTAGGAACTTAATTGGGTAAAGATCATAAGTTATGACTCGAATTAAGATGAATAGAGCAGAATTAGTCAGGAAATAGGACAAGGACAGCATTGTTTCGTTAATAGAGCAGAATTAATCTGGAAATAGGACAAGAACAGTGCTGCTTCGTTAATAGAGCAGAATTAATCTGGAAATAGGACAAGAACAGCGTTGTTTCGTTAATAGAGCAGAATTAATCTGGAAATAGGACAAGAACAGTGCTGTTTCGTTAATAGAGCAGAATTAATCTGGAAATAGGACAAGAACAGCATTGTTTCGTTAATAGAGCAGAATTAATCTGGAAATAGGACAAGAACAGCGCTGTTTCGTTAATAGAGCAGAATTAATCTGGAAATAGGACAAGAACAGCATTGTTTCGTTAATAGAGCAGAATTAATCTGGAAATAGGACAAGAACAGCGCTGTTTCGTTAATAGAGCAGAATTAATCTGGAAATAGGACAAGAACAGCGTTGTTTCGTTAATAGAGCAGAATTAATCTGGAAATAGGACAAGAACAGTGCTGTTTCGTTAATAGAGCAGAATTAATCTGGAAATAGGACAAGAACAGTGCTGTTTCGTTAATAAAGCAGAATTAATCTGGAAATAGGACAAGAACAGCATTGTTTCGTTAATAGAGCAGAATTAATCTGGAAATAGGACAAGAACAGCATTGTTTCGTTAATAGAGCAGAATTAATCTGGAAATAGGACAAGAACAGTGCTGTTTCGTTAATAGAGCAGAATTAATCTGGAAATAGGACAAGAACAAATATGCGATATTTATGCTCAGAATGATAAAAGAAAGAGCAAGGATGTGTACCTATGTTTTGTAGATTATGAAAAAGCGCTTGAAAAAAAATGTCACAAAGAACTATTTGAACTGCTATGTAAGCTTGAGATATTTGGGAAGGGTATTAGAATAACCCAGAACTTATGCTGGGAGAAAACTGGCTGCATGCATATAGAAAATAAACCCAGTAAATACATAAATAAACAAGGATGCGTGTTCTAACAGAACTCATTCAACCTTTACGGTGAGGCAATTTTGAGATCATTTGACGGCATACCAGGAATCTTTATTAGCAGCGAAAATCATAAGAATATAAGAAACGCAGATGGTACAGAGTTGATGGCAGACACGGAAAGTAACCTGCGGGAATTCCTACAGAAGACAGTAAAGGAAAGCGAGAAGAAAGGACTAAGCAGCAATTGTAAGAAGACAGAGTATATGGAACAACCCATGTTGCAAACTATGAACTAGAGACACCTAAGCCAAGTACAACAATTTAAATATCTAGGAAATGTTTTAACAGTGGATGGAAAATGTGACGCCGAAGGCGCATTAGAATAGAAAAAGATGTCTTCCAAAAGTTTAGCAATGTATTAAAAATCACGAAAATTTCCTTACGAACAAAAAAAATAGTACTAAATTGATATGTAATATAGGACCTGAAGAGGCAACAAAAATGTGATTGTACAGAAGGATGCTGAGGATACAATGTACTGCGCATGTGAGCAATGAGGAAGTTTTTAGTGAAAATGGAGAGAGATGGGATCATGCAGAATTCGAATAAAAAAGAAATATTTGAAATTTCTAGGGCAAATAATGAGGAATAGGGCTTGAAAAATATAACACTTGGAGGACATGTTGAAGGCAAAGTGGGGTGCAGAGGAATGCAGCTTGAGTAAATGGTTGGCAGAATAGGAATTAGGGAGATAGCAAACAAACAAACATTGATCAGAGCAACAAGTAAAAAGGAAATTGTGAAGAACAATGATTGACCAAGTCCTGAAGAGACACGGTACAAAGAAGAAGACGACGTCGAAAAGGGGAAGAAGACGCTAAAAGAAGTAGAAGAAGAAGAAGACGGCGACGAAAAGGGAGAAGAAGTAGAAGAAGAAGAAGTAGAAAAAGATGAAAACTAAGAAGATGAAGACTAAAAAGAAGAATAAAATGAAGATGAATAAGAAGACGAAAAGGTAGAAGATGAAGAAGTAGAAGAAGAAGAAGAAGAAGAAGAAGAAGAAGAAGAAAGATTAAAAAGGAGAAGAAAAAGAAGGCGAAAAGGAAGAAGAAGACTAAAATTAGGTACCTCCACGAAATTGCTACAAAAAATATATAGCATGAAAAAAAACGATGTAATAAATTTTATCGGCTTAAATATATATATCATTCTTAAGAAGAAACACCAAAGTATTTTTGATTATTTTAAAAAATTTTTACTCATTCTTATCAGGTCCGAAATTTTATTTAAAAATGTTGTTTATTTCTGTCATCAAAATTACTCAAAAAAAAAAGTAGCTATCAGCCATTTTTTTTTTTCTAATTTTGTAAACAAGTTAAAATCCTCGTTTATTTTTGGTATAATTATACCAAAAATCAATTCTACGTTTTTCAAAATTTATTTGACTAAAATTAGCAAATTTAAAGATTAGTTAAAATATTTTGAAAGAAGCTTTTACTTACTTTTTTCGAATAAAAAAATTGTTCGAAATAAAAAGTAAGCGATCTGAACTGTGTTGTCATTTCTCGAGTGACAAGTGATACCTGTCATCACATATCGACAGCTAACGTGAGATTCGCGTTATCATACAGATGGTCATACGTGACGTAACGTTTTTTTGTTTTTTGTGTGAATCAGCTTATGTACTACCCCGTAATTAGTAGATAATAAAAAACAAAAAATTAGCATTCCAATTTCCTTTATTTTGTTATTTTATTATTACTGGAACTTAAAACATAACTTTGTTGATACTATCTATTGTTACGAGGATGCATTTCTATAATAAGGGATTCCTTTGAGTTCTACTTGTTATTACAAAAAAGTTTTCATTCATGAAGTAGTTGTAAAATAGAGAAATTAGAAATAGAATGTTTGGAAGATTCTAGATCATTCTAGTATATTCGAGAAAAATCTAGAAATATGCAAATTAGGTGTTAGCCCCGATAAAAATGGGATTTTGGAAAAGGGTTGTCAATGCTGTCAGTATCAACTCCGGCTTTTGATTCAAGGACTATTATATCCAGCCGAAAGAATCTCTATAAAAAGTTGCCGACCAACCAAAACCCAAAAGAGAATTTCATGGAACAAAGTTG